CACAATTTGATGGTCAATTGTATCAAATGCTGCACTAAGATCTAATAAAACAAGTACAGAGACGAGTCCTTTGTCTGAAGCAATCAGAATATCATTTGTAATTTTAACTAGTGCTGTCTCAGTGCTATGATGCACTCTAAATCCTGACTGAAATTCCTCAAATAAATTATTATCGTGGAGAAAGTCACACAGCTGGTCTGTGACTACTTTCTCAAGGACCTTTGAAAGAAAGGGAAGCTTAGAAATTGGTCTATAGTTGGCTGACACCTCTGGATCCAGGGTGGGCTTTTTTCATGAGTTTTAGCAAGGAGTGAGGACATCTGCTGTACCTCAGCAACTACGTTGGAGCCTTTCTCCTCCAACTGTTTGGCCAGCTGGTGCTGATACAAGGCTAGAATAGCCCCCATGTTATCCAGCTGTCCTTGGATTGCCACAGCCCCATGCAATCTAGCAAGCATGGCATCCATCATTTTTGTGTTTCTGTTTGAATGGCTGGGCATAATGCCGGATCCATTTAAGGAGGTGGTCCACAGCCAATCCTCTCCCTACCAGTTTTAAACTATAGGCATATTTGCAGTCATTGGAGCCCTCTCTGCTTAAGAATGTTACATTATAGGATTAAGTCATATAGAAGTGACAGTTTATAGGGTCCTGCTGCTAGTTTTAGTTCTTAGAACAAGCTTAGGAATGTTTAGATGTGTTTGTTTGCTCTCCTTTCTGAGAGCTTTTTTGGAGGGAAAATAAAGGCTTTGGGTCCTACACGGTTATTTATGTTATCGTAATTGTAGTTCATATACTTTTTCCTCTCCCTTCTTTAACAAGGCGCTGTGTCATTTCATATACTTTACATTTTGATAATGGCTAATTTAACGAGGAATGGGGGAGCAGGTCTAAGATTTGTTTCTTGGAATGTCAAAGGGATGAATGGTCCAGTTAAGAGAGGTAGAATATTTTCCCACTTAAAACATCTCAAAAGAAAGGCTAGGGGTGTGGCTATCCTGGTTGACAGAAACATTCCTTTTGAGTCCTCCAACATTATAGCAGACAAATTTGGTCGTTTTATTATTGTTTCAGGCAAACTTTATAATAAGTCAGTGACTTTGGCTAATGTGTATGCGATGCAGTTTTTCAACAGATTTTTCTCTCAACTCCCTGATCTAAATTCTCATTCTTTAATTCTCAGAGGGGATTTCAACTGTTATTAAGATCCAGTGTTAGATCGCTCCGCCTCTAAACCCACCACTCAAATTTGCCAGCTGTATCAAATCATTTCTTGCCGATGTTAGCCTTTCTGATCCCTGCCGTTTCTTATATCCTACAGGATGAGAATATGCTTTTTTCTCCCATGTCCTCCACACCTATGCTCAGATTGAGTATTTCTTTTTTAGACAATAAATTAATCTCAAACCTTAAATCATGCAGTTATGAAGGTATTATTATTTCAGATCACGCTTCCCTTCTTGTACTGGCTTTTCCAGATGCTGAGTATGCATATCTATGACTAGATCCATTGTTGCTTACGGACGAGAGCTTTCTCACACATATTTCTACACATATTAAAACATTTTTAAGCATCAACAAAACACCACGGGCCTCATGTACAAAGACTTGCTTGGATTTCCTACTGAAGCTTGGCATACACTTAAATCCAGAAAATGTTGTACGCGCAAAAACATCCAGACATATCAATCTTTGCGTACACATGAATCCAAGTACATTTTCTTTGTACATCCCCATCAACGTGGAATTGAGCGCACATGTTGGAGTACCCGGCCCCTCCCTATCCGCGCCCACATTTAAATATGCAAATTATATTTAAATGAACCCTGCACCTGAGATTCCCCTCCCTGCACGATCAGAAAACAAACAAAAGAATGAATAAGACGGGGAAAAATGAAAATCCTCACAGAATGCGAACTGGAGACGCTATTCACTGAAGTGGAGGCACGCGAAAATGTACTTTTTGGCACCCTGTCCTCCGGCATCAATACTAAACACAGGAGGAGTGAGTGGGAGAGTGTGTATGAGGCTGCCAATGCTGTGGGGTCAGAAAAGTGTGCACATGCAGAATTTAAAAAGAAGTGGTCCGACATTAAGGTGGACGTAAAGCGGTGGACGGCTACCCACCGCCAAAGTGTGGCCAAAACAGGCAGGGGACAAACAGGGACCCCGTTTGAACAGAGAGTCGTCTGGGGTCAACTGAAAGCAGACAATTAACCCTTTGGGCCCTAGGCCTTTTTGGGGTATTTTTACTGCCTTTACTTTTAAGCTCATATCACAGTCATTATAAAGGCTACATACACATGCTATATCTTGTTTTTTTTTTTCAGGACAATCTGGGCTAACCAGATTTGCCATCATTCCATGTCCTTCTATGTGCCTGTATTTTATATTAATTTTTATATCAATGAAAAAAACAAATCTGTGTGCCTAAATTCTTACATTTTTACATGTATCTCACCATAGCAAGTTGGAAAAAGACATATTCTGTCATATATGAAGAGGGGAGACTCTCTGGAATCTGGCAATATAAGAACCATGATGCTGGGACATTCCGTCACTTCACAGTTGTCCAAAACATGTGGTTTGTGCCAGGCGGACATAATTGCCAGTATTTTTTCAGTATTGCAAGAAATTCCATTGACTCATTCACAAGTCAAAAATGTGTTTTATCTGAAAGAAACATGCAATATTTACATCTAAGATAATAGAAAAATAGTCAACCAAGTGCAATGATGTCCTCCAAGATAATATTTGTTTTTCAGTTTCAGTTATATATTGAGGGGACATTTTGGGCATTGGTGGAGGGGTACGTGTCCCCCTCAATGTATATGGTGACTACTGCCCTGTCAAAAAAAAAAAATAAGAAAAAAATAAAAAGGAAAAAAAAAAAAAAAAAAGCTAGTCTTGTCATACAAAGTTTGATGGAGTGTCAACTGGACAATATGGAGATATTTGCATCTTGAAAGCCGGACTACAAATGTGGATAGACAGGGAGAAACACACGCAAGCCTAATTAATTATGTGAACTGGATTTACAGTTTACATTTGTTAATCTAATACACCACTTAGATGGATCACTCTCTATTGTTGTAAATGAATGCAGAAGTGCGCCAGGGAAAAGGTGGGGCTAATTAAGAAATGTCACGCACAGGTTTATTGACATGAGTACTTTACACACCGAGACAATCAGGGGCTTGATAGTATGGAAGCCCATTTCCGCCACTTGATGGAAAAAAATTAAGATCTAATAACTCAAAATAATGAGATACTAAGTCAGATTAAGAGAAAAATTATATGGCTCGAGGCGTTCAAAACTAACAGCAACCCTCGAATTATCGCAGGTTATTTTACTGATGCTGTAAGTGACATCAGTGGATGCCCACAAAGAGTCAGATTAGACCACGGTACTGAGAATACACACCTTGCAGTGATGCAGAAGTTTCTGCGCAACACTGAGGATGACAATGGAGTGGAGTGTGTCACTTTAGGTCCAAATAGTGGTAATCAGAGAATTGAACGCTGGTGGTGCACCTTGAGAAGTGAATGCACCCAGTTCTGGATGGACCATTTTGACCAGCTGAAAGCAGATGGGTATTTTGCTTACAGCTTCATTGACAAATCACTGATCCAGTTTTGCTTCCAAAATACCATACAGGTACAGTATCCTAAAAACCTATTGCTTATAGGGCTATGCATCATTGTTGGAGGAAGTACTTGAAAATACTCCATTCAAAAATAAAAATCATAAAGTGTGTAAGGAGCCTATTATCAGTAAAATAGGTCTGCTTTAAGTAGACTATCAAAAGGTGCAGTAGGCTCCAGTTGTCCCTGTCAGTGCTAACCAGTGTCCTTTTTTATAAATATTGGTGGTAAACGAATGCATTTCTTTTTTTAAAGATATTTTTTGGGGCATTTTTAGCCTTTATTTGATAGGACAGACAAGTGTGAAGGAGGGAGAGAGAGAGGGAGTGACATGCAGCAAAGGGCCACAGGCTGGAGTCGAACCCGGGCCGCTGCAGCAACAGCCTTGTACATGGGGTGCCTGCTCTACCACTAAGCCACCGATGCTTTATTGAGGCCTTTACAGTAAATACACGAATAGGGCTGAGAAAGTCAAACTTCCAGGTTTTCAAAATAAAATGTGAAAGGCAATTTAAAAAAGACGTCATAATGATACAACGCTGGTTTTATGTCAGATTACCTGGTAGAAAAAAATGAAAAAAATAGCATTTTAGCTCAATAGCTTCCAGGTCATGTAACCTAATGGCTCAAAATCAGTGTAGGATCATATTACTGTAATACACTGGCAGGTTAAGACACACAATTTCATTATAGTTTAATACACCTCATATTTTATAATCATTTTTTAATGTAAAAAATTGACATTTTAGCTCAATAGCTTCCAGGTCATGTGACCTAATGGCTCAAAACCAGTGTTGGATCATTCTGACATCTTTATATTACCTTTCACATTTTCTTTTGAAAACCATAAGTTTCTACATGCTGTTGTATACTAGCGCTGACTTTATCCGTGTATTTACTGTAAATGCTGCAACACAGGCGCACTTGAAATGTTGGAGCGGCTGGCTTGACTACGTAAAAATGACAGGCAGCTGGCTTGACCGCAGTATATTAACAGTGTCACTGTACTTTAAGAGCCACCAGTCAACTTTTCATGAGCTCAACAGCGAACACCCCCTATTTTAACCCCTTTTTCACAAGGCATTTTCTAGATTTTTTTTCTACTTTTATTTTCATTTTACAACACAGGCTTGTAAAATTGTTGAAAAGTTACTGTAGTGGATGAAACAAAGATTTTTGTGTGTAAACAAATGTCATTTTAGCCTACGTTTAGGACTAATTAAGTAAACAAAAGTCACATGAAAATTTACACTGTAAATTAGGCAACAGTAGTTAATTTGCATCACCAATCAACATGATAACAGAATTAAGCAAAGATTATTCTCTAACAAACCTTTTCATTCTTTCTCTTGCAGGAGGAGCTTGATGAGGTTGTAACTTTCTGGAATGACCATTGTGTAAGAACAACCAACAATCCTCAGGCTCCCACTGGTCGCCCTTCCATAATGCATGCGGTCCCCAACCTTTATGGGGCACCAAATTTCCTGCAGCCAGTTGATGAAATGACGATGGAAATATGTCGAGAGGACTGCTGTTTTAAAGACTATCCTTGTGACGAGGATGTGTTTCACTTATGTATGGAACTTATGGCTGAGCACAACCTGGAAATGTCTGATGATGTATATGCAATTACTGACCTTTATCTTAGACTTCGCCAAATGATTAATGATGGGCTGAGGGAGTAAAGTAGGCCTATGGGCCAGAAACGCTTTGAGAACAAGTGTCAGTTAAATAGAATTACATTTGTAGGCTACCAGTGTACATAGACATGCCCTGTATTGTTTATTGTACATGGCATCTGAAATACAGGTACAAATACATTAGTGACACTGTCTTTATACAATATACTGTATGAGAATTATAGTAAAGTCAGATGGATTTGTTTCTTGCCCCATTTCTATATAACCTTACAAGACCCACTAAATGTATTTGCTCTCAATGCTTTTAGTATAGTTTTAGTTTTGTATTTGCATTCTTGCCAACACATGCTAATTTATTTTCATTTTGGAACAAAATGATTGTGTAAATGTTTTTGTGGCATTCTTTTCCTTACCTTTCTATATATTTTGGTTTGTGATAAAAAAAAAAACAACAACATTGCATAGATTAGTTTTAACAGCTAGTTCCAAGTTGAAGTCCACTGTGCTCCAGGCCCTAAGGATTTTTGATGTGTCATGTGACTTTTTCTCTCCTTCTGACACACCAGAACAGCAGCCTCTTTGACCTCTTGATTTACAAGTTAAGTGCTGTCTATGTGCATGTCATGAAGTGTGTGTTACATCCTCGGTAACAGTACAGTAGCTACAGCATTTTTCTTAATATTGTTAATGAAATAACATGACTACACAGTGCAGGATAACAATTGTAATTGTGACAAATACAACAACATGGTCACATCAAAAAACACAGTGGAACATTCTTTAACAGATGGCTCCTAAGATAAGACAAGCAACAGAATTGCTATTTATTATGAACATTATTAAAGACTTGCACCAAGACTACTGTATGTTTACTTGAGGAATGTGTTTGCACAAAAACATGCTTTGGCCTAAAACTTAATTGTCATTGAAGACAGCCAAATGTTACTTCATAAGTGACTTAACAAAAACGTATTGTCAAATAGTTCAAAAACAAAACTAAAAAGAACAAAAAATAAAAACATTTTTGCATAGACCTTGATAGACAGATTCTTTACTCAAAAGTGCCAACCAACAATAGTCAAATGAACATGTTTGCCATTCTTGATCTTCACTACTGTGATGCTATTATGTCATATGGCATTATTCTTAACAAATGACCTGGTAACAAGAAATGTAGTCATTTTAATGTACCTGTTCAACTATTTCAATATTATGTAAGGTTTTACAAATGGACATATGGTCACTGACATCAGGAAAAGAAGATTTTCTATCAAAATTGTGTATGAATCGTAAACACACACGTACTCTCTTGATTGAGTTAGATTATGTCCATTACCCACACATTGGAGTTCAACACCTTGTTCATTTCATAGCTGAAGTCAGGGTAGCTATCATAATGGATTGACAGCTCCAGCACACAGCCACATGTATGGGCCACAGGTCTTCTCTGGAAACCTTGAATCTGGGTGAAGTTAACAATGATATTCTTCCCCAAGAACAGATCTGAACCTGTGCAGAACCTGAGGAACAAACACAGATGCTGCATATCAGAATTCCTCAAGTATGCAGTGAGGTACTTTTGAATGTCCTTGTGGTGGACATCCATTGCCTCTGGGAAGGTGAGGGACTTCAAAAACTTTCTCACAGTTGGTTGCAGTGTTTCGTACACTGTGCTGAGGTCCTGAAGGTTGTGCCTGGCCATGCTGAGTATTTTTGCCCATTGCTTGATCACATAGGCTGGCTCTTGGACAAGCGTTTTGTGGGCAAGCTCTTGGAGGATTTCATTGACATTGCTGGCTGTTGGCATCCTTCTGCAGCTGTGGTTATCAACGATCTCAGTCAATTCTTCCTGATCAACAGTGTCAAAATCTCATCGCCATGATTCAAATACTGCACGCTCAGATTCAGGCATATATTTCAGGAAGTTCTCCACTAAATCACTCTTCACATATCCCAAAGCAGCTTGCTCTAGTATGACAGGTGCTATCTTCACAGGAAGATATTTCTCTCTCTCCCATCCAAAAGCAATTATTCGACCAACACTCTCCCACTGCTGCTGTCCAAAATCACGTCTCAGGAAAGGTACTTTAAAAGTATTTCCCACTGTGCACTGGTCGTAAAATTCAGTCCAGAATTCTGAGAGACAGTCTCTCACAACTCCACCATCATCATATGCCTTCTCAGGTTTTCCATCTGGCAGTACAAGCTGGATTTTAATGTCGGCCTCTTTAAGTCTATCGTCACTGAAATGAGCAATGAGCTCTGGCAATACCTGCCCTCTGTGAACAACCAATATTTTCTTCACTCTCTCACTAGATGGCATGGCTTGTGGTGAAATAGGCAATGTATCATCCAAAATCTGTGGTTCATTTTCAGAAAAGCTTCCTACAAAAACAATGTTGCTGCTCTCAAAATCATCCTCCCTGCCATCCTCTGTGGCATACACTGCAAACTCAAAATTGTCATCGCTTGCATTACTTCCAACAAATAGCATTTCAGGGCTGACTGTTTCAAATGTAGCTGATGATGGGGGGGTAGCAACATTAACGAGTGAAGTGGACGACTGAGCACTCCCCTGTCTTTCCAAAGATGGAGCCAAACCTGGGCTGTGACTGTGTGGTCTGTCATTGTTTTTGTTTTTTTGTGTGGTCAGATAAAACCTGAGAAGAGAAAGTTTTGTGTCCTGGTACACTTGTTCAACTATCATCACCTCATCAAGTGTAATCTCTTGATAATTTTTGATATCTAACTCAAAATCTGTTAAGGACCCCAGACTATTTTTCCCATTTGGAAAGAACAGGTCAGTAGCCTCCTGTATCAAATCCCTTTTCTGAGCATCCTTTGAAATTTCGAGTTTTCTAGTTCCCCCTCCTCGCTTGGCTCTCACTTGCTTGAAAGCCTCTTTTTCATCATAGTGCATCCATCCTGTTTCTATTTTTCTCATTGTCTTCACAGCATTTTTTTCTGACTTGGTTGGAATTGTTCTCCCTGGTTTGTGCTGCTACCTCCATCACAAGCTTTTCTTTTGGACAATTTGTTTTTCAGGCGCTCGTACAGTTTTGATTTGCAAGTGTTGCAGTGGCTGTTTTCCTTCCTCCTACAAAATGCAAACACTGCAAGGTGATCCCCATGGCAAATAAGTCTTCAAGTCTTCATCTGTCATCAGCAATATGGTGGTAGCATCAATCTAAATATGGAAAATGCAATTGTTTAAAAAACATCGATCCTGATTAGATGACCTAATCATTAGGCTACTGATAACATTTAGTTATGTTGAGTTTCAGGAAACAGCAAGAAAGCCAATAGTCAGAAAATTACCATGAAAAGTGGGCCTACAGTTGTTTGAATGAAATATTGTGCTTTTACAGTCAAGTAGCCTACCTTCTCTTGCTCCAGGGCCTCTATTGTTTCCTCAGGAATATTACTGTTATATTATAATATTACTGTCTCAAGAAGTCACTTAGGTCATCCATCCTGTAAGTAGGCCTATACATTACAAGGAAGGCTACAGTGGGCTATAATCATTCATACATTTAACAAAAGTCTTGGGCAACAGATGAGCAATGATTTTACATTGTAACTTGTATAAATATTATAATTAAACGTGAGGCTTTGCTTAACTTAGGTGTCACCTTAATAATTTGGTTTATTATCTCACATTATCTCACATGTCAACAATTAAAAATGAAATCATATATTGTACAAACTACTGAAGTAAGATGTAAGTCTACTGTTGGTATGCTAGGCTATTGTTTTAAATGAATCACTTTCGCTTACCAATGTAAATAATCAAATGCTTAATTAGCTCATGCCAGTTCAGTCTATTTTGCAAACATTAGCAATAATCACCTAAACATGAAAAGAGGGACGACGCTGAAGTTAGCTTACGATTTGTGAGCTTACGATTTGGCACTTAGGGGGAAAGTTAAGGGGAAATTAACTTAATGTGCAGTGCGACTGTTTGTCCACTGATTGTCTGTTTTGTGTGACACTTCTTGATGTGAAAACAAGAAGTGTCACAAAAAACAGACAATCAGTGGACAAACAGTCGCACTGCACATTAAGTTAATTTCCCCTTAACTTTCCCCCTAAGTGCCGAATCGGAAGCTGTCGAATCGAAAGCTAACTTCAGCGTCATAAAAGACGGCAGCTTAGCAACTGACATTAAGGGGCGAAATGACTGTTTTGTGCATCACAACCCATCTTGAGGTCCGAGTCCCAAAGATGTTGCGCTAGATCATAGCTCTCTACTATAGTGATATTGCAGCGCAAGCACATAAATAAGGTTACGCCTTGTTTAGCCTGTGATTACAATATAGCAAATTTCTGAATACCGTATGGAGACACGAGGCGTGTCTGTTGAGTCCTTCTGGTAGTGTAGCACTTCTAACTTTAGCCTAGGCTACTGAAGCACTGGAGCTATGCGTTGGCACTGCATTGCACACATCGGCTACCCAAAACTCTGTTCGTACCATGGTATGGGTGAATACTCAATTCTGATTGGCTGCAGGATATCTGTGCCTGATGACAGGTTCTAAATTATTGCGCTGGGTCAACCGCTAGTTTGTAACCACAGCAACGGAGACTCAGAGCATAAACATGAGTGATTTTATCGCTTCAGTTGTGATATTGCTTTTATACAACAGTTCAACAACAGCTTAAACAGCAATGCTGAGTAAGGAAATGTTAACAAAAGACGATGGAATAAATTATCTAAGTATGTTATGTAGCTCCGCGAAAAAAAAGAGTTCCCCCGGTCTGTTGCCAGGCAACGCAGCACACACGCCAGGAACTCACAAGCTACTTTGTATTTACATTGATCTGCAGCTGTGTAACTTTGTCCAGTTCGGCTGATGAAATGTTGGCAAACCTGAATGTTGGCACGGCCAGATTCAGCTTCCACTCTCCCTCATCCTCATCAGTACCTCATCAGATGATCATTGATAATTCCTGACCGTGTTCGCTTCATTTGTGCTCCTCTCCAATTTGTCGAGGTCAGCTGATGTTACACAAACACACCTGGAGGTCTGCACAGAAGAGTCCTAGCTTTCCTTTTCCTCGTCCTCTCCTGACAACCACTCATAATTTAATTCAAATGTGATTTTGGGGAAAGTATCCATCTTCTTGGTGTAACGCTAGTGTCAGTTTGCGTCAATGTAGTGAGTGTGACAGTTGGTTAATTAACGGCTGTATTTATATTTTTAACACCTGTGAGCGGAGTGATCTTACTGTTACAAGTCCCAGTGATGTTATACTCTATATCAGCACTCACGGAATGCCTCTCGTCCAATCAAATTACTTATTACCTCACTGTTTTGAGTTAGTATCCCTCAATGATGTTATCCATCGTGACAGAGATGAAGAGTATGGATTGTCGAAGGCTGTAACTGTACTCATTCACCTCATTATTGGACTTGGTATCTCATTATTTTGACTTAGTAAGTCATAATTTTGACTTAGTATCTCATTATTTTGACTTAGTAAGTCATTATTTTGACTTAGTATCTCATAATTTTGACTTAGTATCTCATTATTTTGACTTAGCAAGTCATTATTTTGACTTAGTATCTCATTATTTTGACTTAGCAAGTCATTATTTTGACTTAGTAAGTCATTATTTTGACTTAGTATCTCATTATTTTTGACTTAGCAAGTCATTATTTTGACTTAGTATCTCATTATTTTGACTTAGCAAGTCATAATTTTGACTTAGTATCTCATTATTTTGAGTTATTAGATCTTATTTTTTTCCATCAAGTGGCGGAAATGGGCGTCCATATGATAGAAAGCTCTGAAGCTGTAGTTTAACCAGCAAAAAAACAGCAAGTCACTAACTTGTACCACTGACTAGTACTGATTCTGTGAAGAC